GAGAAAGGATTAGATTACAAGAGCTGCAACCTAACCAGACCAGCCCAGTTTGAATGGACCAAGTGGGTGTTCCACAGGTGGGGTGTGGCTGGTGGTGGGTCATGGGGCACTGTGCCCTTCAAGGGTTCATCTTCCCTGTGGCCCCTTCCCCCCCCCCTGCCTCCTGTGCCATGAGCTGAGCAGCTATCCTTCACTGGCCTTTCTCCCAGTGTTTCGCCTCACCTTGGACCAGAGAAACGGAGTCGACCTATGGACTCTAACCTCTGAAACCATGAGCCCCAAATAAATGTCACCCCTCTGAGTTTTCCCTGTCAGGTAATAAGGTTAATGTAGAGTATGACTTCTCTGACGTTCAGTAAACGGAGAATCCTGCTGAAGGGTTTTCTACCATGGCCACATAAATGACGTTTCTCTGTGAATTGTGAAGCCAAATACAGGAGTGCTCCCTAGAATTCCCATTGTTTCTCTGCAGTATGAATTCTCTGATGAGCAGCAAAGTGAGAACTCCAGCATTTCTTTGTTGTGAAATAAGTCCACAGCTTTGGAACATTTCTATTCCAGTGGCAACATAAGCCTCCCTTCAGTTACGCTCTTTGATGCACATTAAAGTCAAGGATGTGACTAAAAGACTTCTCACGTCACGAGGTCTTTCTCCAGTGTTTACAGGAGCCTGATTGTCAAAACCCAGCTGCTGAGGACTCTTCCACCTTCACACACTCAGGCTCCCTCTGCACGGAGCTCCTTCATGTCCTCTAATGGGCCTCTCCGTCACCAGCCTGTGAGTCTGTGGGGTGCAATCAGGCGCAGGCAGGAGCTCCAGTGAAGGACTGCCGCCCCACAGGTGTCTCCACAAGGCAAGCATGGCAGAAGTTTCTCTGAGTTTTGCTACAATCATAGGATCTTTCCAGTAGGGCTCACCTGGCATTCACTTAGGGATAGATAATATTCAAAGACTTCCATGTGTATCACAGTCACATTTCCCGCCTGGTTGAATTTTCTTCTTCTCATTATTCAGGGATGATCAGTGCAGGAGAACTCCTTGTTTATTTCCAGAGGTTATCTTCTTCCTCAGCGGATGAAGGTCAAAGCTATGCAACTTTGTGTACACTTTGCATATTTTTTCACTTGCATAATTTCTCTAGTGTTTATTGAAAATGGAGTTATTTTCCTAACGTTTTGAGTCAGGTTTATGAAATGTTCTAAAATGTGAATTATCTGTGTGGGGAAAATTGGAAATTAGGAAAATTTACACAAAATTATGCTATCTTGGGTACTAGATGCTGTGGACTTACAGTCTGCTGGGACTGATGACCTCCTTTTAAAGTTTTTTTTAAAGTTTTTATCAGTGCCTTGTAATTACACAGTGAGACTCCTTCTGCCATACCCACATGCACACAGTTTGCTCCCACACGTCCCAGTGCTTCCCGCCCCTCTTCTCCGTGCTCTGCCCCCTCCTCCCCTCTCTGGTCTCTGTACACTGGTGTGTCATCACTTTACATACAGTGGGACTCATTGTGACAGCTCTTTACACACACACACACACATATATAGCAGAATTTTATTTTATTCCTGCTTTTCCCTTTTGCTGTCCCTGTCCAGCACAGGGGACTCAACTAAGGTCACTTGTGTGAATTTGGGGTGACACAAAATAAAACACAGACACGAATTACCTTTACCCAAGCTTCAGGACAGCATTCCTCGGCTCTCAGCCTCAGGCTCCTCAAAATGGAGAGCAAGAGAAAGTCATGAGATGCTGGCGAGAGAGGGAAGCATATTTGGAAGTGAGCTTTTATTTGGGGGGACACTGTTCTTAGAAAGTTGTATCCACAAAAGGGCAGAAGGGGTAGGATTTCACGAGAGCAGGTGAGGGTATGCCTACACGTGAAGCCGTGCCTTGCTGTCCGAGCTGGGACAACACTCAAGTCGCTAGGAAACGTACTGACTGGTCAGAGAATCCCCACGCAGGACATGCGTTCTGTGCATGCACACTGGTGGCGCTCGCGGGCGTCAGGACTGGAGGCATTCACTCACAGCGGCTCCCCACGCCCTTCCCTTGGCTTCCTTCTTCCCCCTGGACATCTACCTCTCTTCTTTTTGTGAGACTCCCCCTTTCTTGTTTCTTTCTGGCTTCTGCATGAGACACATTCTGCCTCTGACTTTACATCATCTGCCATGTTGTTCTACACATTCACTAGCAAATGACATGATCTCAGTTTTTCAGAGTGATACTCGTTACATACACATTTTCTTTGCTATTCATCCGTTGACAGGCACCTACTCAGGCTGGTTCCACGACTTAGTGTTGTGAAATGTGTGGCTGTCATCATTGGAAGGCAGGTATTGCTGCAGTGCGCTCATTTTGCTCTTTTGGAAGAGCGGGGTCATCTGGCAGTTCTAGTCCAAGTCTTTGCAGCGCGACCAACGGCGTAGGAGGGCTTCCTCCCTGCGCTCTCCACGTGCATTTCCTATCATGTATTCCTGGCTGCCATTCTGACTGAGGTGGAATCTCAGTGTAGTTCTGATTTGCATTTTCCAGAATGCTAATATTGAACATTTTCTTTTTTTTTTCATTTGCATTTCTTCTTTTGAGAAATTCATTTTAGTTCATTTGTTCTTTTATCAGTTGGGTTGTTTTTGAGTTCTTTATGTATTCTGGGTATTAATCCTCTATCAGAAAAGTAACTTGTAGGGACTTCCTCCCATTCTGCAGGCTCTCTTTTTATGCTTGTTTCCTTTGCTATGCAGAAGCTTTTTAACTTGAGGCCATTCCACATATTCTTTGTTTTACTTCTTGTGCTTTTGGGTCTTACTAAGGAAATTGGTGCTTGCACCTATGTTGGCATGTTGACTCTATTTCCTTCTATCAGTTGTACAGTTTCTGGTCTAATTCTGAGGTCTTTGATCCATTTTTGCTTGTCTTTGTTTTTGGTACCATGGATTGAACTCAGGGTGCTTAACCGTTCTGAGGCACATCCCCAACCCTTTTTGTTTCATTTTGAAACAGGATCTCACTAAGTTGCTGAGGTTGACTTTGAAATTTCGATCCTCCTGCTTCAAACTCCCTTGACTTTTGTCAGAGGATATATGGGTCTAATCTGATTCTTCCACAAACGGCTATCCAGTTTTCCCAGAAACACTTGTTAAAGGAAGTGTCTTTTTCCCACCTTTCGTTTTTGGTACCTTAGTCAAAGATTAGATGGTCATATCTATGAGGATTTGTGTGTCTTCCATTCCACTGGTCTTCTGTTTTCATGCTTTGGACACATCTGTTTACTGTCAACGCAGTCATCTACTAAATCTCATTTGGAAACACCCTGACACACCCAGAAATAATGTCTTATTGGCAATCTGGGATTCCTCAGCCCAGTAAAGTTGGCACATAAGAGTAACTATTGCAGTCTCCCACCATTTAGCTTCCTTGTCTTCTTTTGGTACTGGGGATTTAACCCAATGGCACTTTACCACTGAATTCTATTCCCAGCCTTTTGAGTTTCATTTGAGACAGGGTCTATGTTGCTGAAGCTGGCCTCAAACTTGCCATCCTCCTGCCTCAGCTTCCTGAGCCGCTGGGATTACAAGGGTGCACTACCATGCCCAGGCTTGTCCTTAATAACCAGTAAGGTTTCAGATGTCTCACACCAATTCCTCTTTTCTGTATTTCCTAACATTCCTTACAGAGCATGACCACATAAATTCTTACCAATAGAAAATGAATAGAAGTGATGTATGAAAACTAGTCCTTTTCTTAAAAAAAGAAAATCTCTTTGTCTATGTTTCTCTTCTCCCCATGAGCAAGAAAGTAGATGAACCAACAACCCAACTTAAGTGAGGATAGGATGGGAGAAAGCTAGATCCCTGGATCAGCTCATGGGTCCAATGCTCTTGGCTGACCTTAACTTCTACACTTACAACTGGTACAACCACCATGGAAAGCAGTATGGAGACTCCTAGAAAAAGTTGGAATGGAACCATCTTTGACCCAGCTATCCCACTCAGTCCAGACCCAAAGGACTTAAAATCAGCATACTGTGGTGATGCAGCCACTTCAATGTTGACAGCAGCACAATTCACAACTGCTAAACTGTGGAACCATCAGAGATGCCCTTCAATAAATGGATAAAGAAACGGTGATATATATACACAATGGAATATTATTCAGCAATAAAAAGAGAATAAAACTTTTTGGAATTTGCAGGTAAATAGATGGAGTTTTGAGAACATCAAATTAAGCAAAGTAAGCCAATCCCCAAAATTAAAGTCAGAGCGTTCCCTCTGGTAAATGGATGCAGATCCATAACAGGGGTGCAGGGAATGGGGTGGGAAGAATGGAGAAACTTTGGGCAACAGGAATGGGGGCAGGAAAGATGGTGGAATGAGATGGACATCATTACCTTAGGTACACGTATGACTGCACATATGGTGTGACTCTACACTGTGTACAACCAGAAAAATGAAAGTTTGTGTTCCATTTGTGTACAATGAATCAAAATGCATTGTGCTGTCATGTATAACAATTTAGAACAGATAAAAAATGAAGTAAAAAAAAAAAACAAATAATCATAATTAAATACAAAGGAAACAAAATCTACAAGAAATAGAGTTTATTTATCCACATTCTCTGTTAGTTCCTGTCCACACATAAATACTTTACTACAGATATATCAGTGCATAGATTATGGCTTTTTAAATTTCTAAGTATTTTAGATTTCATTATTACTTTTTTGGGGGCGGGGTGTAGTAGGGATTGAAATCAGGGTCACTACTGCTAGGCTACATCTCAGCCTCTTTTCACATTTAAAACTTTTTAGGATACTGCTAAGTCGCTCAGGGCAGCCTTGCACTTGCTGCCTTCCTGCCTCAGCCTCCTCAGTCACTGGGACTGCAGGTGTACCGCAGCACCAGCCAGCATTCTTGCCAATGACCAGATAAGAGTGAGTAACAAGTGCAACCCTTGTCTCCGCGTCTGCACACCGACCGGCGCAGGCTGCGCACAGGGCGCGGGAGGCTAGGAGGCCGGCTGAGTCCTCCTGCACTTCCTCCCGCCGTGCGTTTTCTGGTGCCCGATGAGGTGCGAGCTCTGGGTGAAGGCCTTGCCGCACTTCCTGCACACGTAGGGGCGCTCCCCGGTGTGCGTCCTCTGGTGCCTGATGAGGTGCGAGCTCTGGCGGAAGGCCTTGCCGCAGTGCGGGCAGGGGTAGGGCTTGGCGCCCGTGTGCGTGCGCAGGTGCTGCGAGATGGCCGAGCGGTCGTTGAAGGTCCGGCCGCACTCGCGGCACTCAAAGGGCCGCTCGCCGCTGTGCACCCTGCGGTGCTGCGTGAGCGACGAGCTCTGCACGAAGCCCTTGCCGCAGTCCCGGCACACGTAGGGCCGCTCCCCGGTGTGGATCTTCTTGTGCACCGAGAAGTACCTGGGGTTCCGGAACACCTTCCCGCACTCGCTGCAGCGGCACACCTGGCTGCCCTTGTGGATCCGGATGAAGGTGATCTGCACGGCTCGCCGGGCCCCCGCCCGGGCCCCCGCCCGGCCCCCGGCCATCCGACAGCCCGCTCCGGCTCTCCCCCTCCCACAGCCCCTCGGCTGCGCCCTCCCCGGGGAGGCCGCGGGCGCCGCGCTAGTCACCCGAGGGCCCTGTGGGCGCGAGCGCCGTCTGGGAGGGCCTTTCGGGGGCGAGCCGTGGCTCGGGTCAGGTCCGGCCTGCGCTCCCGGAGCTCCGGGGCCTTCCGGGAGCTGCTGCCCAGAGGGGCCTTGCTCCTGGGCAGGCTCCGCCCGGTTCACGGTGGCCAGGGCTTTGGGGACCCCACCCTGAGAAACAGCAGTTGAGGGGGAGGACTGGCGACCTTCTCCTGAGGACTGTTTCATTTTGGGGTCATGAAGTGGTCTCTCTGCAGGATCATCAGAATCTGGAGTTAACTCTTTGCCTTCCGGTGTACTCTCCCACCCTGAAAAAAAACACAACCACAGACTGTGGATGCTGCAGAGGGAATGCGCCAGGACGGGATCCACAATATAACTCAAGTTTTCTAACGTCAGGGGACATCTCCCCCAGCGCAGCCATTGACCCTGGGAAGGCCTCTGAGAAGCTGCGCAAGACCAGAGGCGAACAAGCACCTGCTCTCTGGCTGCCTTGGGGCAGGTGGCAAATCAGAAGAGCCTGCTCTGCGGCTCTCCATCCAGTTTCCACCCCTTCAGGCCCACAGCTCCAGTGAAAGGTACTGGACCAGGCAAGTGAGCCTCCTCGGGATGTCCCCTGTTCACGCAGGGCTGACAGAAGGCAAGGGTCCTGCCCTGGGGCCCCTGTGGTATTGTGAAGGTAGGTTCCGCTCACCTACTGAGACCAGGTTCCCAAAGGTCTCCAGCATCACATCATGGTACTCAGTCCTCTGTGTCGGGCCCAGCAGCCCCCATTCCTCCCGGCTGAAGCCCACAGCCACATCCTGGAAGGTCACAGGCTCCTGTAATACCATGCATGTGTCTGCTTAGGAGGACTGGGGTCTGTCAGCAGGACAGCAGAAGAGCTTATGGCACTCGGGATTCCTCTGCTTTGGTGGATGGCTCAGAGACAACAACTCCAGGCCCACAAGAGGTCCACAGGGACCTCCTCACAGATTAGCTCAGAGCCCCAGCTGCAAAGCAGAGCAATAAGCAAACCAGGCTCACTGTGCCACAGGCCTTCCCCATGGGGGGGACTGGCAACTGCCTCTATGGACAGTCTCATCTGGGTGCAGCATCCACCCAGCCTGCCACGTCAGTGCCTTCTGGGGAGCTGACCAGGACTCCAGGGTAAGAAGCTTCCCTGTCCTCCCTTTGCCTGGATCTGACAGGCATTCTGCCCAGATGGAGCAGAGCCTATCTTGAGAAAGAATGGGAAAAACCAGAGCCTTGAGATGGGCTGGTCCAGATCCTTCCCACCACCTGGACAGCCTTGCCTGAAGCCTACCCCCATGGCTCGTCTCACGAGATGACGTGTTACATGAGAGCCAATAAATTTATTCACATGCTTGAGAAAGCAACTCACAGTGCGAACAGGACTGACCTCCCTCTGCCTTCCTCCACACCCAGACTGCGGGTCGTTTCAGAGGCCAGCACACTCCCACAGGCTCAGGGGCGCAGAGACTCCCAACCAATGGGACCACCTCACAGAGATGCTGAGATGCAAGAAATGGGTGAGGTCCCCACTCACCTCATTCGGCACCGCCTCTGGACAGATGGCCACCTCCTCCTGTTCCTTCTCCTGCTGAGCAGTGACCTCTGGACAGCAGGCAGGCCCCTGGACAGGGAGTCCTGGGGGAGACAGAGCATGAGGGGGCTGGGGATGAGTGTGGATCCTCTCCCAGGGACAGCTCCCTGCAGTCCACAGGCTGCTGCCTGCTCACATACCACTACAGTCCAGTGGGTCTCCTCCCACCTCTCCTCTCAGTCAGCACCTCCTCACAGCTTGTGGCCAAAACCCCCTACCTGGATAGGTCCAGATGTGTCATTCTGCATGACCACGGGAACCAGTGTCCCCACTGAGACACGGTCTCAGTCCCCATCTCCAAGGACTGTTTGGGGACCTAGCTTGTCTGGAGATAGTCAGCTTCTGCCCAGCTTATGTGGACCCCCGTCCCCTTTTTCTTCTCTGGTTGCCTTGAAAGGCAGGTCTGCCCCAGCCACAGGCTGTGCCCACAGCCCTCCCAACCACAGCTCTTTCATGCCTACCTTCCTCATGTGTCCCACGTGGTTCTGGGCTACCCTGCCACCAAGGAGGGTACACAATGTGACCCAGGCCGGCCCCCCAGGCTGCCTCCCACAGAGAATAATCTGGGAGCCCACAGCCAGCCAATCAGAACCAATGGAGTGCAGGTGACAAGGGACATGGAAGAGAGGATGGGTCTAGAGGATCTACTGGAGCTCTTGGCCCTTCCCTGTGTCACCCTGGCAGTGTCACAACAGGTCCTCCTGACTCACAATTCTAAGGTCAGTCTTGGCGACTTAGTGACACACTGACTCAAAATGAAGAAAAAAGAGACAGCTAGGAGGCAGAGTCACCTGGGTTCAATCCCTACAGCAGAAACATTAATTAAAATAGAAAAAATCCCGACAGGGCCCTAAGCCGCAGGCCAACTTGGCCCTCTCTTCCGATCCACCACGAACCTTCCGAATCTCTCCCTGATGTCTGCATGCCACACCGTGGTCACATCCATCCTGTCCCATTTCTCCACCTGCTCAGGTCCCAGGGTGTGCCACCTCTGTGATTCCCATCAGCACCCTGACCATTCTCCACCCCGCACTGTCTCCCACCGTCTTCACCTGTTACTTCCCCTACCTCTCCTGTGGACCACTGGCTCGATCCTGCCTGCCTCAGTGACCCCTTTATCCACCGCTCCTGGACAGCCGAGAGCTCCCGTGGCAGGGATCCCAGGAGGATGAACAGAAAGCACCGTGTCTGTGAACTTCTGCAAGCAGCTTGTGGAAAGACTGCTAGAAGGCCGTGCCAAGCCCCACAATGGGGTCCCAACAGCTTTGACTGGTAACTTGGGGGACACAGACACCTTGGTGGATGGCCTAGGAACAACCCTCTCCCCATCCTTCCCAAGAGGGCCGGAGCTCTTCCTCCTGTCCCTCCAAGAAACCCTTGCAGAGGTGTCCCTCACCTTAGCCATCCATACACTCACCTTCCTCTACCGACAGCAAGGTCACGTCCTCCACCAGGGCTACGGCAGCCTGGCAGTTCTCAGGATGCTGTGACTCCACCCATGTCCGGAACTTCTCAGGCAGAGCACCCAGAAACTGCTCCAGCACCAGCAACTCCAGGATCTGCTCCTTGGAGCGTGCCTCAGGCCGTAGCCACTCGCGACAGAGCTCACGAAGTCGGGCCAGAGCCTTCTGAGGGTCAGCTGACTCCTCATACTGGAACTGCCGAAACCTCTGGCGAGCAGCTTCAGGGTCAGCTGGATGCCCACCTGTCTGTTGGGCTGGCTCCCCGAGGATGCCTGGGCTGAGTTCCCCCTTCTCAGCATAGAGGGCCTGGATCTGGGCATTTCGGGGACCAGCCATCTCCTGGTTCAGTGTGAGGACCTCAACAACCCTGATCTTCATGAGGGGATTTTCAGCAGGAAGAGACTTCATCTGAGGGCCCAGTGGAACTTTAGGACATTCTGTAAGCCAAAAGCACAAGACAGATGGCTAACAAGAACTTGAAAAAGCAAATGAAAATCACAGTGAGATATGACTCCACACCCACTAGAATGGCTACTGCCAAGAGATGGACCACAAGACCTAGTTCAGTGACAGAGCACCTGCCAAGCATGCGCACAGCCCTTGGTTTGATCCTAAGACTGGGGAACACCTCCAGATACCAGTGAGGATACACAATGCCGCACCACTTTCCATAGCAATCTATTAGCTCCTCAAAAAGCTAAATATATAATCATCATTTAACTCAAAAACTACCCTTCAACTTACATCTAAGCATAAGAAAACTGAAAACCTGTGTTCGCAAGAACTTACATGAGCAGTACTGCTCGTAACAGCTGAAACGTAGACATCACTCCTGTCCACCGGGTGACAGAAGTACAGAGGCTCCCTGCCTGCTGACAGGATCACGTCCTGATAAACCCATGGGCATAAGAAGCATCCAAGTAAAAAATGCATACAGTACAACTAGCCTATAAAAATGTCATCTCACAGTTTCCAACAAGCTGGAAATAAAAAAATCGCCAGGCCAAATGACCATCACACCCAGGACCACATGCACAGACTGTGACCCACACAGCGGGAGGTCTGGCAACACAAAGGGCTGGAGGACTGTATGTGACGTGACACTCACCAACCTTGACAAGGCTGGACTGAGAAGGAAGCAGATGCAACACCATGTGCTGGTGAACCAGCTGTATGAAATGCACAACAGACGTGCCTGCTCTCAGCTGTACCACTTAACCTGTGTCCTGGATATTCACCTCACCCGACCGAACAAACTGGAAAAGACCGCAGTGGTTTCACTGCAAATACCCAGGTTATCAGTTGCATGTAGGGCTCAGCCTCAGTATGGCATGTGGTACACAAACAGGAAGAGACACTTTATGTTCCTTACTCAGTGGGATCCTGTCAAGTTAAGTTTCCTCCTTTCTGTCAAGTAACTGAGAGGTAAAGGCTGATAATTTGCCTGCACAGATCACATTCAAAGGGTCCTCTCCCATATGAGTCCTCTGATGTGAACACGAGAACTCCTACTGAAGAGGCCCCCCTGTCTGTGTTCACGTGACAATCCTCATCAGCACACCTTGCTACACCTGAAGCCTTCCTTACATGCTTCCGTGTCCAGTAGGACTTGTGATGCTTCGGGGATCGTCCTCAGCAATCAGGTCCTCATGGTGTCAGAGCTCTCAGGTGTAACTAGTTGGTGTAAGAACTTTTTCAAACTCAATGAAACTGTAGTTTTTGCCCAGTATGAATTCTCTCAACACAAGACATTAGGCAATAAGCCTTTCCTGCTGCCACTGCACTCCTGGGAATGCCGTTTCTTCCCTGTGTGAGTTCTCAGAGACACTCTTTGGAAGACTTCTACCATCCAGGGTTGTTATAAGCATCCTTTTTAGTCTTCTCTGTTAAGGATGCCAATCTGAGCTGAAATTGGGCTTTCTCACACTCAATGCATTTATTCCATCTTGGTTTAAACCTTTTTTTTTTTTAATACAAAACTACTATATTCTACTGATTTTCTACATTCTCCATGTGTAGGAGAATGAAAATGTGGGAGAACAGAATGGCATCCCCTGCAGTAGTTCTCTCCCAGAAGTGATATGGCCATGCCGTTCTAAACTCCCACATCCCAATTCTCCTGTATTCACTCTATAGCCTGTGGGATCCCCTTAGGCTACACAAAGGATGAACCCCCCCAAATTTACCTTTCTTACTGCTCCACAAGATCTCATATAAATTAGTACTGTTTTTAAGCTGATGTTTGTTGTATGTTTGCAAGAGCTGATACTTTCACATTTGTAGGGTCTATTTCCTGCTTAATTTCTTAAAAAGTTGAAAATGTGTGTTCTGCAGGCTTTTCTATGATAGTCTCTTCTCTGCACTAGTTTCCTAATGATTAGGTCTAGTTTATCTCTCCCATGTTCCACTGAGAACTGTATGTATGGTAATCCTCTCCTGATGGGGTGCTCAGTGAGAGCTGATTCCCCCAAACGCCTGACCTTCATAGCATATTGTCCAATTCAAGGCTTTCCTGAGGGGGAATGCCATGTTTTAGCATTTATCCCATTTCTCTTCTACTTCAACCACCAGAACCCATGCTGCCACTGGGCTATGATTGAAAGCTGAGAGGCATGCAGGATGAATTGCCAAAACGGGCTAGTTTTGTGTTCAATCCCAGTTCTGTGCATTAACAAGAGCTTATGGCCATGTCACTGCTGGGAGAAAGCTACTGCAGGGGATGCCATTCTAAACTCCCACATGTTCATGAGCTGCCTCGACCCACTTCTGAGGTTCCAACAGGTGCATCCAACTGGTTTTGCAAACCTCTCTGGCTGTCTCTATGGTCCCTTCCCGTTAATATTCCATTTACAGAACCAGGAAAGATGTGAGAAAGTTCAGAAATGAATCAAGGTGGAAGCTACTATTAATTCTCTGTATAATTTGCTTAAAATTATTTCAACATGAAAAGAAAAAAAGCCTGTATTGCAACTCCACAAAATCTGTATCTTCAGACTTTCCCATGTAAACGGCTAATGCCAAAAATTTGAGTAACTTTTCTCCTTGATCATATTTTATAAACAAGATAGTGACACATATAAAGAGAATGCCTGCAGTATACACAGGCCTCTGCAAGTCCCTCTCCTCTGAAAGCCTCAGCAGCCTTCCTTTGTCTCCCACAGCCACTAGCCAGCCCTATGCACCTACCCATCCACCACAGCCCAGCATTCTCGCCTCTCCCCGGATTCTGCTGTGGCCGCCTCCTGCCTTTTTCTCCAACTACCCAGAGAAAGCTGTGAAAAGTCGGCACTCCCTTGCTCAAGGATGAAAGTCAATCCCCACGCACAGCTAACACACAGCTAACGAGGCCTGTGGACTCTGCCAAGTTTAACGTGCATGTCTTTATGTCCCAGTCACCATCGCTGGCACACTGGGCAGCTTTGTGTTCCCTGAATATGTCCAGCCTGTTCCATCTCATGGTCATCTCAAATGGCATCCCTCTGCCTGCCTGAAAGTTCTTTTCACCACCTTTTTTTTTTTTTCCAAAAAGTGATACAGGGGTACTTTACCACTGACCTACATCTCCAATCCTTTTTAAGAAAACTTAACTTGAAACTGGGTTTCCCTAAACTGCCCAGGCTGGCCTTGAACTTGTGATCCTCCTGCCTTGCAAGTCACCACATCCCGCTGAGCTGATGCCGCAGTCTGGCTGGGCACAAATGACCGAGCTGCCACACAGCCTTGTAGGTTCAAACAGCAACCTTTATTCCCGAACTCTCACCGGCCCTCTACACACCCTTCCCGGGAACACACTGCCTCCACCCACGCCAATTCTCTCAGAACCCCACGAGAACTCAAAGGAACTCCAAAGTAGCGGGCGCCCCAGGCAGCAGGATCCGCCCTAATCCCGGAGCAGGGTCACCTTTCAACCATTCCCTCTGGCAAAAATGCCAGGCGTCATTCTGACTAAACTGTGGCTCTCAACAAGCTGATGTCCTCAGGCAAAGAATATAGACAGGAAAGGTGAAGCTGAGCGCAGTGGCCATGCCTGTAATTCCAGTCACAAGTACACGGTCAGCCTAGACATCTTAGTGAGACCCTCATAACTTAGCAAAATAAAAAAGACTCAGGGTGGGGGACTGGGTTGTAACTTAGTGGTACAGCACTTGCTTGGCATGTGTAAGACACTGGGTTCAGCTCTCAGAGACACATATAAATAAAATAAAGATCCATTGACAACTAAATAAAATAACAATAATAATACACATGCACATACATAAAGTGCCCCTGACTTCAATCCTGAAGTCAAAAAAAAAAACAAAAACAAAAACAAATAATTCCACCCCTGCAGTATACCGATTAGCTCCCTACAGCAGTTCCTCATGGTTCCTCCTCAGTGCCTCCCACAATGCACCATATCCGCACAGTCTTTTCGTAATCTATGGCAACAAGGTTGGGTTTATGTCCCACCTGTTGGGTATACTATATGTGGTAGAACAGGTCCTCAGTGTAAGGAAGGGGGAGGGAAGGAAGCATCTCCTAAAGAACTCTGTGACAGAGCAAAGGTCACTATGGCACCTCTCATCTCAGGCCCACTTGAAAGCCAGCTGACCAGCCGCGGCTCACAGGTCTCCTTCCCTGGAGCACTCAAACTCTGCTCACCTGTGAGCCAGCTCTCCGCAGACGTGCAGGACCACGCCTACAGTGTCTCTGTGGCAGCCAGCCTTGGAGCTATTAGACCATCCAGAAGAGTAGTCAGGAGGTTTATCCAGGCAGGACCAAAGAGATGAGCTGTCCCAGCCAGAGCCACACAGACAGGAACACATGTTAACAGGCTGGACACCAACACAGGAGGTACAGAACTGCTGGGGGTCTTGGGCAGGTAAGGTATGATTTGGTGACCAGTGCTAATAGAAAGGATATTTGCAATGAAGGGAATGAAAGGAAGGACTGAATGGAGGAAAGAAAAATAGAAAACCACTGAGCCATAAGTTCTAACAGGGAGAAACCAGAACTGGGTTCAGAAAAAGAAAGAGTGGCATCACAGATGCCAGCTTCGTCTTGTTGGGGCAAATAGGTCATCAATACAGAGAGGAACAGCTGGAGGTCCCACAAACACTGGCCCAAGCAGAGGGTTCCAACACACTCACACCACAGCAGAGAGGAGACACAGGGGAAGCCCCCAGAGTGCTCTAGAGCCGGCATCACAATCGGAGAGGGGATGTGGCAGCAAACATGCAGAGAAAACTACCGCCCAACCCAACCTGAGCACATCAACACACCGACACAAGTGGGCAGCTCCCGCAGCAATTTACATCATGCATGTCTGTGTCATCCTGGAAGGCTCTGGAAGGGAAACTGGGGATATGCCTGAGGGTCATTCACGAGAAATGGCTAAAAGACCATTCATCCATATAAAAACTGATTTAAAACAAAGCAGAATCCAGCCCTGTGCTCACCAGAACTCAGATGGGGCACCTACTTTTCACTCTCAGCATTGTGATGTGTGGAAGAACCACTTATGATGAACCCAATCATGTGACTGTCCAAGGCAGTAAGAAATTAGCAACTGGCTTCCAACTTTATACCTGCTGGTCAAACTACCATGTATGTGGGCATCTAAAGAATCTGGCACAACTGTTACAAATCACCCAAGAACTCGGGAGCCTGACATGTCCACCTGGAACAATGATACAGGCCTGAAGATCAATCAGATCAGCAACAATGCAAGCCCCCAAAGGCAACACACTCCTAATAGCATCTCCTCCTCCCCCGATGCACTGATATTATGTGTCGATTAAGAGAACTACATGCTAAGGGTAGGGGAACATTGAAAGGTACAGCAACACCATGTTTCCACACAAAGATCTAAGCAGCACAAGAGACCTCTGTCAGGACTGTGCACTATGATCACAAAAACTGGATTCACATCAAGATGGTGTTTCCAATAAGCAGAGGGGAGGGAGCAAATGGTGCTGCAAAAATTTGTGCCCCACACCACATGAGAAACTTCCAAATAAATTGGACAAAAAAGCAAACTTAAAAAGCTCAAACAGGGGGGCTGGGGTTGTGGCTCAGTAGTAGAGCACTGGCTAGCATATGCAAGGCCCTGGGTTCCATCCTCAGCACCACATAAAAATAAAGTTGTGTCCAACTAAAAAAAAAAAAAAAATAAAAAAATCTAAAAACAAATAAACAAACAAACAAACAAAAACCTCAAATAGGGTCAGGTGCAGTAGCACAGGCCTGTAATCCCCAGGACCCGGGACACCGAGCCAGGAGGATCTCAAATTCAAGGCCAAGCTCAGCAACTTGGACCCTAAGCAACTTAGCAAGACCCTGTATCAAAAAAGTTTCTGGGGGTTTAGCTCAGTCATAAAGTACCCCTGAATTCAATTCCCAACTTAAGAGAAAAAAAAATTCAAATACATGAAAGTAGTTTACATGGAAAAAAATCCAAAACCAAAATAAAGACAGAGGCTGGGGTGCAGCTCAGTGGTAGCACGTCTGCTTGGTATGCATGAGTTCTTGGGTTCAATCCACAGCACTACCAAAAAAAAAAAAAAGAACACATAAAACTTGTTTTTAAACTATATAGCTATAGCTTCCGGAAAAAGACCTTACATAAAAAGAGTAGATAAATGTTGGACTGAAATAGATATTTCAACATTAACATCCAGAATAGCATTCCCAAAATACAAATAGAAAAGACTAAATAATATAGAATTCATAAATAAAATGTGAACTACAGTGAACATATTTTTTTGTCCATCGAACTTACAAACCTTAAGGAGACCATTACAAACTGCTGGGGAAGGAGAACTTGGCACTTGAGTGGCTACACATGTTAAAAGAATTTGAGAGAACAACCTGCTATTACCAGATTTTTAGCTTACTCATAGGTTAATCCTATGGTTTCTAGACATTGAACCTAAAGAAAAATCAAAATGTGCTAAAAATGAATGTCGAGAGCCACAGCCGAGTTGGGATGGCACATGGCATTTTACCAGAAGGAGTGGTTGAGAGGTGACTCCAGCGAGCCATTAAGATGATGATAATTAAGCAGTGTATAATTGCTGTGACTGGATGATGCTGGATTGAAACAGGCCGTGTATTCAGTCCTATATGGACCCCTGCTGTCCGGCAATAGGGCGGCCCCTGCTGCCCCTGCTGCCTCGGGAGCCTGCTAGTTCCCCTTGAGTCCAGTGGAGGGTGAGAGAGTTGCCGGGAAGGGCGCGCGTGGAGTGCGGGTGAGAGTTCGGGCAATAAAACAGTTCCTGTTTGAACCTACAAGTGCCTCGTGGCAGCTCCGTTATTTGTGCCCAGCCAGACTGCGGCAAATGAATACTATGAAGTTTTTTTGAATAACCTGAATATCCATCTGGAAAACTGAAACGCGGACTACATTGATCCTGTTAAAAGGAATGGTGGGATCTGTGTTGAGCATAACATCCCCCAAATGTGAATATGTTTGTGCACACACATGTAAACACACAAAAACTCCTGGCTGGGGACAAACCAGAAGCACCAGTGACTGCTTTAGGAGACAGCTGACAGCGAGTGGAATAGATGGGAGACCTTATCCATTCAAAAGGCAAACCTGTACCTATGTACCACCCATTAGCAACAGGTTCACCTTTAACCATCAGGACACTGTTGACTGGGGACAGAGGAAATGTGGAGCTTGATTCTCCAATCACACCTCCCCCTGGGGTCTCACAGTCTCTACTCTTTTCTAAAACACCAGTCTCTAACTAACCAGTGGACGCATCCCCTGTGAGAACTCCCATGTGCCTGGTTCTCACCTGGAAAGGTGTCTTGAAGAATTCCTCTTTCCTCTGGCCAGAAGTCTTCTGCGACTTCTAACTGAGATACCACATCTGGCTTGGAAAGCTGATGTTCTGCTCGAGGGAAAAGAGAAGGCTTGGGGCAGGGTCGGTTTGGGAGAAAACACTGTCCCAGCCTCCTCCTTCTAACACATGACATGACTTTGGGTTTAGGGCAATGACAACCACATCCTTCCCTTTTGTCAGAGTTTTTCTGAACTCCCTTGCCCACAGAGGTGGCGGGTGGCGGGAGTCAGGGTGCAGGCTGGCCAGCAAGACAAAGGGAGCTGGGGGACCTTCAGGGAAAGCTTGAACACAGACACGAACCCTGGGGCCATAGTCACCTGATGACTAGGAGGAAAAAGTTAAAAGAACCACAGAAATGGAAGGAATCAAGATCTTTAATGATGCACGTTCCAGAGCTGTTGTATATTAACATGTCATTGTTAAATGATCACAAAAACAACCAGCATTCACTACTGCAGCTGAAAACATGACTGGTATCCAGGCAGCTGAGGTATGGATGGTGTGAAGCTTTGGAATCAGACTGAGAAATTGCCTTTTTCCTAAGGCTACCAAAAAAAAAAAAAAAAGGACCCTCTCAGAGGCTTCAGGGCCTTAACATAGCTACTCTGATCCCTGCAGTCTGAATCCAAGCCGACACACTTCTGAAGCATCACACGGGGTACCACAAAGCACAGATCTTTCCTGACATGGAAGCCGGCCTTACCCACAGAGACCAGGTTCCTGTAGTTCTCCAGCATCACTTCCCTGTACAGAGACTTCTGTCTGAGGTCCAGCAGTCCCCACTCCTCCGGGGTAAAAGTCAGTGTTAAATCTTCAAAGGCCACTGGTTCCTAAAACCCAGAGGTTCCAGTTCAGCCTAGGCAGATCCTCCTCCGTGTTGACAGACAGAGGGGAAGGCGGACCAAGATGACCTGAAAGCATTGTGCCTGTCTCTTCTTGAGTTACTGTCTCTGTCTGAAACCTGAGCAAATCCGAAGTGGCCCTATCCAGGTCACAGTCAGGAGAACAAGTGAAATCCCTACATCTATGAAAACGTATCCATTTCTATTAACCAGGGAAGCTGACGAAGACCGGCACGTGTGCCTCCGAGCAATTCCCTGGGCCAACAGTCCCACGTGGCCCCTGCTGCTGCTCTGCCTCCACCGCAGGAGGCCAGCTCGCCCTCCTCCCCCGGACCAACTCACCCGACAGCTCGGCCGACGCCAGAGGGCTGCTGAAATCTAAGCACAAGGCCGACCCGGACCTGGGCTTGCTGCCAGGTTAAGGGACACCTCGGGGCCTCAGGCCGGCCCCGGAAGCCCGCATCCCACCTCCCCTCGGGGACCCAGGCAGTCAGTCCCGGGGCCAGGGCAGGCCACCTTCCCGCTGGGGCCCTCCCGCTGCACCGCGGGGTGGCGACCGCGCCCTCGGACGTAGGGCGGTCCCCTCGCAGACGAGCTGGGGGCGCTGTTCACAGGGAGCCAGGTCCTGGCTCAGTCCCCAGGACCGGAAGAAAACCACCAAAACGAAACAGCGGAGTCGGCGCCTACTCACACTGCACCAGGCCGTCGGAAGCCGGGCGGCCATGGCCGCTCCTGGGTCTCTCGCGGGAGTGGGCGGTCCCGAACCGACGCGGGTGGCACACGGGCGGGGCCTCTGAGACGCCGCCGCGCCGGCCGCCCCTGAGCCCGCGAACGGGCGCTGCTAGCGGGGGCCCCAGCAGAGCCCGCTGGCAGCTCGCGAGTCCACCCGGGAGCGGACGACACGGCGCTACTACGTGCAGCTCCGACGGGCGCAGCGTCCCGCTACACTCATCCCGTGCACGCCGCACAATGGCGCCCGTCGGCCCGCGGCGAAGTGCGTCAGCCCGGAGTCCGAACTACAACTCCCAGAAGCCCCCGCGGCGCGCCTAAAGCGGCCGCGCCCTCACCGCGGCCATCTTGACCCGCCCGTCCGGGCGGCGGGCAAAGCCGGAGAGGTAGGAAGGGGGCTCTCGTCGGCCGCCTTTGGCGGCCCCACGGGCCCAGGGTACAGAACCAGTCGGGGTAACAGGCCTCAAGCCCCCGTGTCTCCGTGGGCGACGACCCGAGCCGCAAGAGTCATGCCCCAACGAGGGCGACCACGCGTGGGCGTGTCGGAAGTTGGGGAAAGGGCAACTGAGGGCAGGAAGTGCGGGGTGCGTGGGGCCCGTCGGGGCGGGGCTTTGCGGGGGAGCAGTGGGGCGGAAACGCGGGACGCGCCTTCTGTGGGGGAGGCCGGCCGGTGTCCACGGCAGGGCTAGACAGGTCCTCTCCCGTCCACGGGGCGGAAACGAGGGTAGGGCGGGACGGGACGTGTTCAGTGCCTGGGGCCAGTCTGCTCCAGGCTTCCGGGAAGGGCGGGGTTAGACTGTCCGGAAGTGGCCGGGGCGGGCGGAGGTGCCCCGCGGCGGCAGGGGCGGGGTCGGGGGCGGGGCCATGGCAGGCCAGAGGTGGGCCCCGCCCGGGGGCGGAGCAGCGTGTCTGGAATCCGGTTGCAGCTGGGGCAGAGGTCCGTGGGCAGCCGGAAGCTGCTGTAGGTGCGTCTTCCGAGGCAGCCCAGCCTGATGGAGACTCAGGGCCCAGGGATCTGTCCAGCTGGGGCCAAGGACCTGGTGTGCCCCTCTCGGGATTCATGGCAAGTCTCAGCAGTCCTCTGCCTCCCTGCGGGCGTCCCCGTTCACTGATTGCTGAATTGGTTTCAGGGGCTAATTTTTATGGACTCGATGAAAAAGACCACTTTTGGAGCCACGCTCAGCAGGCCTGTAATCCCAGCCACTTAGGAGGTTGAGGCAGGAGGATCACAGGTTCAAGACCAACCTCAGCAACTTAAGGAGGCCCTAAGCAAATTAGACCTGGCAGAAACAAAAAGGGCCAGGGGTGTGGCTCAGTGGTAAAGCACTTCTGTGGTCAATCCTCCCCACCCAACTGAAAAATAATAAAAAAAAAAGGGGACCACTGTTATGCTGTACATGTTCATCTTAACTGTTGTGTTAGGCTGATTTTTGCATATTAGTGGTTACTCAGAGGTCATGCAGTGTCTTTTGTTCTGATAGTATTTCCTTGGGTTTTTCTTGTAGATGGAACACATCCCGACCTGGGCTTGCTGCTCATTTAATGAGTAACTGAGTCTTTTTCACATTTGGCAGAGGTACCCATGTCCAGGAAGGGAAAGCCCAAGTCTGTTGCTGATCAAAACCTGCTGTATGCACATCTTCCATGTCCTTCCAGAGCAAACAGTACTCTTTTGTCATTCTCATAGATTATTGCCTGCTATTCTTTTCCTGAGGTGTCTTGTCTTCTTTGGGCCACAGGAAAATGTTGAACTGGCTAGTGTGACGTGTTAAATAATCATGTTTACTAACATTTTTGTTTCGAATAAGTATACTGTGGAAAACTGATTCATGAGACAAACCTTAATGTAATTGCTTACTTTTAGCACGTTAAGTACAATATTTAGTATAATTGTAAAAAAGCATGATTTCTGAATAAATGTTAACTGTTATACATGTGAAATATCAAATGTGTTATGCATCCTTTTTATTTTCAGAAACATAGACACAACCCTAATCTCTTGTTCAGAACATTCAGGACCAGAACCTTCAAAATTCATAAATGTTTGGATTTTAGAATAGTAAAGTGTATACAGTGTAGAGCACATAACATCCTCACCATCTGGGGTAAGGCCTGGCTGTGAAACACAGGAGTATACAATCTTACCAGATTGGAGAAAGACTGAGTGGTTCTGCTCCTCCATGTGAACTTCACAGATTCACAACGTGAAGACATTTTTCATTAGAAAAGATTTCAGAATTCTAGATTGCAGAGAACGCATTAAGGATCAGATACAAAAATGATTGGAATAGTAATTGTAGATTTCTCATTCGGTTGCAAAGTTTGATTTCATACTTTTTCTTTTTTTAACATCCTGCACGTGGTCAGGCATATGTATGTTGAGATAATGAGTTATTGTAATAGTCTTCTCTATGCGTTCTTGAATCAATAGTCCACTATTGCTTTAAATTAATATGTAAGTAAAAACAACACAGTAAAACTAAGTAGACCCTACTGTGGCAGCGGTGGCACTCGGCTGAATCAAAGCAGCTGTACAACTTGACTACTCAAAATTTGATCTCCACTTACCATTCTTCGATTCATCACCTGGAGCATATAAGATTGTTGCATGTGGAAGACATCATTTTTAAATACAAGTGTTGTAGGGACAAACGAGGCAAGGCAGCGAAGACAGCAGGAAACAGTTTTATTGGGCTGCAGCCAGGTTCAGAGGGCACAGCTTTTGCTGTAATCAATCAATCCCCTGAACCTCCAGTTCAGGGAGTTTCAGAGTTTTACACCCAGCATGTAAGGGGAGGGGCTCAGAAGTTCACAGTCTGCAGAAGTTCACATAAAAGCAGCTTTTTCTTTCACTGTTTTGGGCAAGTTAACTCTTCAAGGACAGCACTTGAGAATAGGAGAGCTTCTTCTCCCCTCTCTTTCCTCCCCCTGCCAGCTGTTACCACAGAGCCCAGTTGGTAACTTATCTTAAAAATGTAGACATCTCTGTGAAGCCCAGCTCAAGGCCAGAGGTCTTGTTTGCACATTTCTTCAAAGTACTATACTGGATACGTTTGTGAAAAACTAGAAAGGGGTGTCCAGCACCTGGAGTGCTGGTATCTTCTCTGCAGTGGCCATGTAAACAGGGCGACACGAAAATAGGAAGTTTATCTACATTGAACTCTTGCAGAGACTCTTTTGCTGACAGTCCTAAAATCAGCCATGGTAAAGCAGGCTTTTCTGTGGAGAAAGGGGGTGCCACTTCACAAGAAGGATCTGTTCATCTTTGAAGTGTGATCCTGACACCTCACTGAACCTTTTAGGACTTCAAAACTTCATGTTGGAAAATCACAGCCAAGTTAATCACTTTTTACCTGTAAATTATTTGAAGCATAATTATTTCTCAAAAGAGGCTCTTTGGTCCATTTTTCTGCCACCTGTATGTTCTTTGCCCCACTCCCCAAATCAAAGACAAGGCCAGCACCAAGGTGACCTCACTGGTTATAATGCCCAGAAAGAGGCAAAGAATCTGAGGTTTGAGCAGTGGGTAACCACTAACAGCCTTCAGAAAATGGTCTGCTTCAAAGAGGAATGCAGGAGGTCCACAATGCAGGGCAAACCAGGAGGAAAACCCAAAACTAGAGATGCTGGTTCCTCAGGAGAGAAAATGCACAAGCAGGTGGTCTTCATGCTGGTTAAGCTGCCCACTGCTGCCACCCAGGACTGGCCACCCCCATCCCCCTTGCTGTCCCATGTGGGTCATCTTGTTCCTCAGCCACTAGAATGTAGACAAAGAAGAAGCCCCAGAAACTCTGCTGGTCCTGGTACAACCCAACTCAGGGTCTCTCCCTGCCTAAGAAGTCCACCTGTTCCTATGAAAGTTCACTTCTGTTTCCTCTTGAATTGTTTATTCTTCTGATATCAAACATGGATGGTTATAAAATACATCCCAGACAACAGAAGGAGTCTGTTCTCAACAAATAGAGTATGAAACAGACTTAAATGCTGTAACTTGGAAGAAAATATATTAATGAATAGTCAGACACGGTGGTGCACACCTGTAATCCCAGCCTCTTGGGAGTCTGAGGCAGGAGGATTGCAAGGTGGAAGCCATCTTGGGCAACTTAGATTCTAATAAACTAAAGGGGGCCGAGAATAGAGCTGAGTGCTAGAGCCCTTAGCTAGTATTGGCAAAGCCCTGGGTTTGATTACCAGTCCTGGAAAAAGGAAAGCAATCAACAACAAGAAAAAAAACAAATGAGGTTAGTTTATCAAGAAATGCAGGGGACGCATGTGAAGATAAGTTTCTGGAAAGAAATGCTCATGTTCCAGAATGAAAAGTCCAGTGTATAAAGTGTCAGTTATACCCAGTTTACCACTAGACCAATAAAGTTGCAGAGCAGAGCCTTTTAGGATATTTGACCCTTGGCCTGTGGACTTTTTTCTGTGCTTCCTTCCTCAAAATGTGAGGGCAGGAACTCCCAGCTTTGTGTGTGCATGTATTGGGGGTGGCATTATAACACTGATTGATGCAAGAACAAGATAGTACCCTGACCCAGGCCAATCAGTGCAAGGTATTCTCCTGTTCGTGGAAATTAGGTTGAAGGAAGGAGCAAACACTAGGAGTAAGGCCCCAAGTTTGGGTTAGATACTTGGAGAGTGTGGCAGGCTGAAAAGGGCCTCTAAAAAAGTCGGTCCTGATTGCCGCTATGTAGAAGCAGGGTCTTTGCAGATGTACCTGAGGGTCTTGAGACAGGGAGATCTCTGGGTTCTAAATGCAATCATGTGCCTTCACAAGAATGAGGTGGAGCAACTGGACCACACCTGTGCAGAAAAGAGGTGTGGGCGGTGCCCACAGAAGCAGGGATCAGAGTAGTGCACCCTAAAGCCAGGAACGAGAGCAACTGCCAGAGGCTGCAAAAGGTGGTGCCTTCTCTCCTGGAGCCCCTCAGCCCTGCCATCTTCGCGATTTCATCACTGATACTGACTTCTCCACAACTGTGAGAGGTCACAGAGAGAAGCCCAGGCTCTCTCACAGTGATGCTGTCAGTGGGCACCAGCTTAAGCGTGACCGACATCTCTGAGGCGGATGGAAAGAAGCAAAGCAGCTGA